AAGTGTCTTAAAAAAAAAAACAAAAAAAAAAAAAAAAAAAAAAAAAAAAAAAGTATTCAAAGAAAAAAATCTCAACACACGAACAAATTGTTAAATGTTTAAACAATGACAAGATCAGTTTTACTGATTTTTCTTTTTGCCCCAGGCTTGAATATAACTCTGCAAGGTATTACTTCTAACTCTTCTACTTCAAATAGTATGAAACTCTTGAAGTGTCTAAAAACAAGTAGCACAAGTATTTCCCTTGTGATCTTTATTTTTTCCTTCTATTCTCTCTTAGGTTTTTGGCATAGGGAGTGCGTGCTTGCTGAGAGAGACAATGAAACAGAAAGAAAGCACCCCCCAGGGGGATGGCTATGCTGCAATTCCTTCTTCTCAATCCTCCTGGAATTTGGGCACATGCACATAGGTGCTCACCAGCGTGATTTTCTAGTGGTAATTATCATGCCACTTCCTGGCCCCCTCCTCCCTTATGATCTTTTTAAACATTTTTTATTGTTACTCAGTCACCAAGTGTCAGACAATATGCTACATTCTTTACATAAACTGTAAGTATATTAGTATTTCATTCTTACTATAACTTTTTTTTGAGAGAGATTTTTGCTATAGGATGTGTGCACTTGCCATAAAGACAGAGACAGAAGACAGAAAGCAAGAAATCATCCCCCCCCAGGTGGGGGGGGGGGGGATGATCATGCTGCAATCCTTTCTCCATTCTCCTCTCAGGATTTTGAGAACACACGCACAAGCATCCAGTGTGAGTTTCAAGTCTCCGGGTCTGGGACTCAAACTGTGACCAACTATGTGGGAGTCCAGTGACATAACCATTATGCCATCTTCTGGTCCCAATTTTCACATAACTTTCTAAAAGACGTGCTATTCTCTCCATTTTTCCATAAAGAAACTGTGCTCTTTCACACTGCTTATCAATATGTAACAATACATATTTGAACTCAGGTCCTCAAAATGTTCCATGTTGTTAATAGCTGTTTGCTATATATTTAGAAAAGAAACTAAAATGTCTAACATTGAAGTTTCCACCTAATATCTCTGTCAACAAATAAACATTCCCGAAAGTTTACTAGATATCTGTATCTATTAACAATCTATGTTTATATAAAGGCATGATTTTTTTCTTTTGAGGGTGTTTTTTTTTTTGGCTATTGGGCACATGCGCTCCCTGAAGAGACAGAAAGACAGAGACAAGACAAAAAGCAAGAAATCAGCCCCCAGAGGAAAGGCCACGTTGCAATTCCTTCTCCTCTATTCTCCTCCTGGGATTTTGGGTATGCACATACATGAGCCTGATAAGAGTTTCAAGCCTCCAAGTCTGGGACTTGAACTGTGGTCAGCCATGTAAGAGTTGAGCGATGTCAACCATAACACCATCTGCTGGTCCCCCACATAGTCACATTTTACTGGTAAGAATAAATAGCTCGGATCAGCAGGTGGTGTGGAGGATAAGGGTGCTGGATTCCCACATGGCCATCCATGGTTCAAGTCCTGGACCTGGTGACTTGCTTTCTCACTTTCCTTTCTCTCTCTCTCTCTTTCTCTCTCTTGTCAAATAAAGAAAAAAAAATAACAATAACAAATGGAAATAAATAAATAATTCTTTAAAAAAAAGAATAGCTCATCTAATAAGAAAAATTTAATTGCTAAAGAGGAATGTAGATTATACTTGTGTACTTAGAAGATAATTTTTAAAATTCCAAAAATGAATATAAATTTTGTTTTTCTAGACATTTTAAGAATACAACTGATACTGGGGCTGGCAGGTGGTGTAGTGGTTAAGGTGCCGAACTACCACCTGGTCAACCACAGTTTAAGTCCTGGACTTGGCGGATTGTTATCTCATTTTTTCTCTCTCCCTCTGTTCCTCTGTGGTCAAATTGAAAAAACAATAATGATGACGAATAAAACTAAATAAAATAATTCTTTTTTAAAAAAAGAATACAACTGATACTGAATTAGGAAGACACGTAAAAACAAAAAAAGGGTCAGATGATATGGTGGCTAAGGTGCTGGACTCCCACATAGCTGACTGCGGTTCAAGTCCTGGATCTGGTGGTTTGCTTTCTCATTTTCCTGTTCTTTCTCTCAGTCTCTCTCTGAAGAGTGCACAAGCCCTATGGTAAATTAAAAATAACAGTAATATATAAAGTTAAATAATTCTAAAAAAGAACAAAAGAAAAAATTCTATCTGCTATGTATAAGATAGCAGCCTGAGACACAAGGTTACTCAAACATAATATGAAGTTAAATAAAATTAAGTTAAAAATTAAGTTTCCTAGTCACATTAACTACTTTTTCCCCCTTACGGTTTTTGCTATAGTGTGCATGTGCTCATCAGGAAAAAAAGAGGGAGGGAGGGAAAGCGAGAGATCACTCTCCAGGGGGAGGGCCACTCCATTAATCCCTTTTCCTTCATTCTCTTCTCAAAATTTTTGGGCTTGCACACACATGTCCATCATGATTTTCAAGCCACCAGATCTGGGATTCGAACCATAGTTGGTCATGTGGGATCCTCTCTATGTATTTAGAAGCCAGCCATTTATTTGGAAGTTAACAAAACTTGTGTGCTGGGACCAGCAGTCACCGTAATGGCTATGTCGCTGGACTCCCACGTAGTCGACTGCAGTTCGAGTCCCAGATCCAATGAAATTCACTCCAGGTGCGTGTGCGTGCGTGCCCAAGATCCCGAGAGGAGAATGTAGGAGAAGGGATTACGGCGTGGCCATCCCCCCTGGGGGGTGATTTCTTGCTTTCTGTCTCTATGTCTCTCTCTGTCTGTCTGGCAAGTGCACATGCCCTACAGCAAAAAAACCTCTCCAAAAAAAGAAAAAAAAAAAAAAAACCTGTGTGCTAAGAAGCTAATATCTGGTTCTTACTACCATGCTACTGACTGGCCTACTAACTAGAATTTTAAGCATGTGATAAGGAATAGCAACTTTACAATCAGAAGTAACACTGTAGATGTAAAAATCTTGGGAACCAGCAGTTAGCGTAATGACTATGTCGCTGGACTCCCATGTAGTCGACCGCGATTTACATCCCAGACCCGGTGGCTTAAACTAACGCCAGGCGCGTGTGCATGCATGCCCAAGATCCCGAGAGGAGAATGGAGGAGAAGGGATTGCGGTGTGGCCATTCCCCCTGGAGGGTGATTTCTCGCTTTCAGTCTCTCTGTCTCTCTCTGTCTGTCTGGCGAGCACACGCGCCTATAGCAAAAATCTCTCCAAAAAAAAAAACCTTATCATAAGGGAGAGAAAAGGCTCAACCTAGGAAATAATAAACCAAAAACTTTCTAACAGAAGAAATTGAAGTTACTTACCACTTGGTTGAATTTATTTCCCTGATGCTTCTTAATTGAGCCAACATTCTAGAAAAAGGAAAAAAAAAGAACTAAATTTAATGATAAAAACTGATGCTTGTATCTTTAATGAACAACTCTTCTCATTTAGATCTAAAGAGAAATTAAAATTCTCAAAAACCGACCAAAGTAAACCAAAAATAGTTAAGACCAAATATTCAAAACAAATATTAACTTCTTAACATTCACAGGTTTTGTTAACTTCAAAATAAACGGCTGGCTTCTAAACAGGTAGAGTGATGGACAGTTTATATATCTGTAAAAAAAACTTTTTCTAAAACTTTGCTATAGGGTGCATGT